GTACAGAAGTGTTTGGTTCCACAAACCCTTACTGAAGTTTAATTTTACATAATGGAAATTTCTGGAAGTATGTACATTTGTCATATTTTACACTTCAATGGCACTCTAAAGGTAAAGTTGTCCCTGTGCTTAATTATTTAAGCACCATGCCATGAAGACATATAGGGGTACATAGATAAAGCTCCACCATTCTTGACCTTGGCACTATATGGAGAGCAGTCAGCTTCATGCACCAGCTACTGCACCCCCAGGGGAAAGAGGCCCTGGTATCCATTTGATAGGAGGTGGTATGGAAACTGGAGCTGGTCTAGACAATGGAGAGAAAACCTCCTGCCCCTCTTGGGGATCAAACTCAGACCATCCAGCCCATAGCCCATCGCTATGGCAACTAATCTATCCCTGCTCACTTTCATACAGGTAATAAAAGCAATTTACACTGACATACACAGCACTAGAAAACTGATATATACAGTAAATAAAGGCGGAATAGCAGGTAGCTAAAGTAAAAAAAAAATTGCATGTGTTTACTGTAAGTAAGATTGTGTTAAATGAAGTGTAACACAATCTTAGGAGAATATGTAATAGCTAATGAAATAGAAGTTATTGAAATAATTTTGGGGAGTGGGTTATTTGCTTACTTTCTCACTAGCTAGACTATATAGCACTGAATGGTAGGATGAACTGGAAAGCATTTGGAAGAAGTGGTCATGGTCTATGTGAGGTGCTAGCCTAGAATGCCTGGAGGGACAAGAAAATCATGAAATAACAGGCCAGTTTGCATCCTACCAAGATTGAAAATGAGCATCTCCAAAACAGATGTAAACAGTGTTACCACTATGCCAACCCATTTCTGAAAATAAATGTCAGTGAAGAATTTCTAGACCAAAACAGAAAAACTTGTGCATTATACATGCTTCCTTAATAAGTTGGGCAGTTTTCAGATAATGACTGCTAACATTTATAATGAATCTGGTATGAGTTTCTGCATTAATATGAACCATGTCCTTTATGTTTGAGAATGATGCTAAGTTTCTTGTGGTTAGTGTAATATACAGATATATATATATATGAAAACCTGGAAATCTGGTTCAAAGGCATATTTAAGGCCAACACTGAAGGTGTACAGAGCTCTGTGATACTGTAATAAGACTCCTAAAAGTTAGAATCTCTGAAGTCAGAGAAATGTCAACAGAGGCATCCCACTGCTAGACAACACTGAGCAACAACCCCTGATCACCATATATGGGCTCAGAAATCAAGGAACTGCTGGGGTGGCAGTGTTTTCTGATCAGTCTGCAACAAAGCAATGGAGATGATGACAGAGGAGTCCTCATTAACAGAATCCAAAGTATAAAAATCTGTCTGTGATGAAAAAGCCAACAAGCATCAGTGATGTAGTGGTGGTGGTGGTGGTAGAACAGCAGCAGTAGCAGCTGTTATTTTTGTCAGAAATCTTTCCTAAAATTACTAAAATGGCAGCTGTCAAAGTAACTGTTAGGGGATATGAATACTATACAGAAATGACAAAAACTGTTATGGCTACAACTGATGTCACTGCATAGCATTCAGCACTCGTTTTGAACTCCAAGCAGTCCAGAATTTGTATTCTGGCCTGGAGACCAGCTTATCCTGATTGTTTTCCTCAGTTAAAGTATATGAAACTGACTACCCACTTGATAATGTGTCATTAAATAAACCAACAAACAAAAGACAAACAAAACAGAATGCCTATTTAGTGATTTCATTACATAACACAGAAGGATCAGAAGTGTAATGGAAATGAAAGAGTCTGCAGAGTAAGAAGTACCTGCAAGGGTACAGCTTACAAAGCTATGAGGTAAACTAACAAAATTAATAAACTGTTCCAGGTGCACAACTTTCTAATTAATGGTCACTATATTATGTTTTATTCTGAAGATACATCTAAGCACTCATCAACAAGTTTTCTACAGGATATAAAAATAAAAACAGTGAACCTCTGTTTAAGGTTTCTTCTGAGAGAAGTGGATAACACCAATTAACTGAGGAAAATCGTGAATGGTGGTAATTTAACACTGAGAATATTAACTTGTGATTAATGAAATTGTATATTAAATTTGGGGGAAATATTAAATCAAGGAACATTAAATAGGGGTTCCACTGTATACGTACATTACTCTCCAATATATTTCCTTCATTTTACAGGTATCTTCATCCATTCTTAATATACTGATATGGCAATAATTAAAACATGAAATAACACATGTAAATATAACGAAGATAATCAATGCTACTGTCTCTGTGAGATCATGTATGACAAGTGGAAAAGAATTTTTGTATGAACTACCACTTTCAGTTTATGGAAACAAATTATATTATTTTCTGTTTCTGCTGCTTTCTAGTTTCATATAAGACTTCAGGCCTAGAAACACATAGGCATAATTTTCATCGAAGCCATTACTGTGTTGTTTACTCTATGACAGAGACCCACTTACTATTAATGGCTGAGCCTTATTTGAGACATACAATCACTATAATCAAATATAATGTACTGCATATAATATTGAAATTATTAAATAGCTCCATGAAAGAGTAGTTTTGTGTCTCTATGCCATAAAAATTATTATAATCATGATACCTAACATATGCAGTTTAATTTAATTAATGTCACTTTTAATTAACCATGTAAAATGTCTCTAAAACAAATACGAGCTATGTAACTCTCACAAATATAAATTAATGCATACAATATTGAAATTATTAAATAGTCCCATGAAATAGTAGTTTTGTGTCTCTCAACCATAGGAAATTATTACAATTATGATACCTAAAACTTCTAGTTTAATGTAATTAATGTCACTTTTAATTAACCATGTAAAATGTCTCTAAAGCAAATAGCACTTATGTAGCACTCTCTGTTTGACATAAAATGATCACCTAACCAGAGACATCTCTAAGGCTCCAGCAATGTTATCATTCACAATCCATTGGGGGGGGGGACTAATGGGAGTCAAATTTCCATATTGGATTTCTACAACAAAACACAAGCCAGCAGTCTGAAGAGTCACAATATAATACTGTATAGAGCACACTTGCTTTGTTTCCTCTCTTTTCATGTTTAGGAGCACAGAGGGCTAACATCATGTCTCATTTGGAGATGACAGACTAAAGAGCAGCTTCACCACTGGTACTACTAACTGAACTTTCCAAATTATTCTTAACCCTGACAGTCAGCCATGTAGTGGGTCACTTAACACATTCAGGCCTAGCTTGAATATTCATCAGACTTTCCCAGTAACCTGGCCATTTCCTCCCAACAGGCAAGATTTTGGAATCAAGGTTTTGAACACACCTTGAAAAAATACCTGAGTAGTTCTTTTAGGCTACCATACTGTGATAGCCCTGCACTGACTAACAGAATTACAAGAAAGGCTAACTGTGACACACTGGACATTTCATATTGCAGACATTTAATGAAGGAAAAGTTACACTTGAAGTTTCTGAAACTGGAACTAAATGTGTTAAAGGAGGAGGCAAGGTATTACAAAAAAATACAACCTTTACTGTTACAACCCCAGTCAGTTTCATTATAAAAACTCACATTTATCACATTAACATAAAAGGGCTTGATTATTAGTCAATAAAACATCACAAGGAAGGCAAAAATGTAAATTCTGTGATGATAAAATGGGAAGGAAAGGGAGACAGAGAGATCAATAAATGAAATAAGATTCTCTAAACCCGTGGCACTTTACAGATGCTGTGCTTATAGAAATCTCATCATCGTTTTAATGAAATTTTTATCAAGATTATAACTGGCCCCATAACAACTGATCCTATATTAATAAAATCCCATCCAATCAAAATTTCTGTAATTAAGTTCCCAAAATCTTAGATTCAAAGACAGGTTAAGGCCATGATATTTCTTAAGTACACTATGTTATTACAACAATTTCAGTCACAAGTAAAATATTATATATTGTAAAGAGAATCATTATCACAGTGGATAAAAAAAAAAAGTTCCCATTTCAGGCCATGGATATTACATATCACATTATTAACTCATGGAGCTGTCACTGAAAGAATGTAAGCATTTAAAAGCTTTTACAACTAATTAAAGAGACAAGACAAAGTGAATGTGAGAGTTTTCAAACACAAAATTATTTATGATATTTCAAATGTTGTACATACAATTTAATTTAAAATATGAAGTTACCCCATTTAACTCACAACAGTATTGACAAACGATGTTTAATAATAATAATAATAATAATAATAATAATAATAATAATAATAATAAAACACATTACCACTGATTTGGCATAAACTATTCTGCTCAGGAACCAGATTATTTCTGGCAACTTAGCCAAATTTCAACACATAAACCATTCCTTCCACAATACTTAACAATGAGAGTTCACTATCTTCACAGTACAGGACCTTCTTGTTACTGCAGTATTCCAAGAGCTATTGGTACTAGCATTACTACAGAAATGCCCTTGTTGTCAACCTGAAGACACAGTCTGAATTCAACAAAGTTATATATCAAACACTATTCCCAACCCAGTACTGTGACAATACTTAGTTGTGAACTTGACACACGCATAATGGTGAAAGATTATAACTCACCAAATATTAACTCATGTGACCATGTGTTACTCTGCATCATAGGTAAAAAAAATAAATTAATTGGCAACTTTCATCACTTTACATTAATTACAGACACTCTTATATATGCATATATATTTATTTATTTATTGATACAGAATCGCTTTAACTATCAAACCGAATCTGACACTCAGGAACTTCTCATTTTAAATGTAAGGACTGGGAGAAACGCACACTTGTCTCTTCACTGCGTGCAACATGTTCCATTTACTAATAACAAATGCTCCTGTTGGTCCCATTAGTAAACTCACAGCCAATAAAGTTTTATTACACATCTTATGTCTTTTCATTATCCCACAACTGTCAGATTGCTGGGATTCACATCCTTGGCTCCATAATCGGTGGTCCTGAAATGATATTACACTATTATATGAACAATAGGCAGCATTAAAGAATACAGATGTGCAAATCTATATCGCAGATTTGGAAACGATAAATATCAAAACATATTTCCGTAAGTGCAAGTTCCAGGCATTATAAATAGCAGGTATAATATTCAATGGGAACATCTCAAATTTCAAGATCAAGGTCATCTCAGATGATGCCATGTAACCTGGTAGCTAGGTAAAACCTGCTGCATCCACAAGAGACCCTCTTCTACTCTGAAGACACTGGTAGTAGAGTTCTCATCTCGGTAGACTGTCACCATCATTTTCACCGCTCACATCTCAAATTTCAGTTTATAAAGTTAGCATTCAAGTCTAAAAAATATATGCATCCTAGCATTTACGTAACTGTGGCAAAATTTCTGGGGCCATTTCAGCAACAGTTTCAAGACATGTCACCAGAAAATGCTAAACCCCAATGGTAGTAATAATACCAGACTGCTCTTCCTAAATCTGATATGAAATTCTACAATAATTTAAGAAAGTATGAACATTAACAAGCAAATTAAAGCTATGCAATATCACATCCAACATGCTATATATAACATATATATGTTGTAGCATACTCAGATTGGTGAATGTGTGTAATAAACTAACATGTGTACAAAACTGTTTTGTTATGAAGTTAAGCTGGGCTGTCAGCTTGCTGTTGACATCTTCCAACAAACATGCATATGTTGAAAGTACTAGATATTTACATAAAAATAATAATAACAACAGCAGCAGTAGGAATAATAGTAGTAATGATAGTAGTACTGGCACAGCCAGAATGAAAACCTAAAATAAATGTACTGGAGCAAACACTGACAGAACAAGTGAACTGGTTCTGACTCAAGCAGCATGGGTGAAAATAACTCTAAAATTGCCAATGATTTGGAGAAAGAAATACTTTAAAATCAGACTGATGTACTTATTTGTATTGCTAAAATTAATCTCAATCATGGAGCTCTGCTCAAGAAGATGTGCTTCAGAGAGTAGAGCATTTTTTAAATATTTTTATTGTTGGGGTGGGCGAACCTAGCCTGAGGGTCCCTTAATGCTGTGGCCACGGGTAGCAGATGAGTTAGAAAACATTGCCCAAAACCACAGAAAATTTTACACATATTATGTATAATAATCTATGCTTTCACAGACAAAAAACAGTGTCAAGTCTCAGCATTTCATTACAGAATCTGAAGTAACTGTGGAATATTAGATAAAATATTCTTTAAACTGTCATGAGAAAGTGACTGAGTTATATCAATATATTTATCACATAACATGAAAATGTTCTATATTTTATGATTGAAAGTACAGCTTACATCAAACCTAAAACAATGTAATATCTCAAAGCCAGAAAACAACAAGCTGATAACATGCTCACTCAATTTATATTATATATCAACACCTATTTTACTAGCAAAAGTTCTTCAGCATTTAATAACCACAAGTTTAATATCAAATAAAAAGTGTTTCTGTAATAGCCAATTTTGTAGTGAATAAGACAAGGGACTTACATACAGAACAGGCACATTATAAAAATATCATTAAACTAAATAATTTCTTGAAGGAGCCTTCACTGAGAAGCTAACAGTCACTCAGACAGTCAAGAAATTCTTTGCCTTTCATGGAACCTGAAGGTTCATTACCATGTTCTCGAGATCAGCACTTGTATCTACCCAGAACCAGAAAAATCCACTCCACATCTATTTTAAAATTACCCTCTCATTTTCCAGGTCCTCCAAGTGATCTCTTGCCTTCATGATTTCTGATTAAAATGGTGCATGTTTTCTCATCTGTCCTGCACATGCTATAGTGTGTACCTCATTCTTGGAAACTTTCATGAATCATTAAAAACAATATTACATGTAAACAAGGAACAGTGGGATATACTACAAGTTCCATTAAAACAAAAGGAGCAATATTTCACAGAGACAGTCTGGGCCCATTGTCCTTTTATCTTACCCTTCAAACAAGCAACATATGGATATTATTTAGCCATTTGCCTGTTCCATTAAAAAAAATAGCATGTAGTGCTATCAGCCTAATTTTTGTCTGGAATATCAATTTTGGATGCTAGGCTGACAACCTCGTTCTGTAAAAAATGACTGTTGCAAAATCAAAAGAAGTGAAAACCAGATTAAATCTGGTACAATCTACAGAAGGCAAAGACTAAAAGAGGGCTGTTTTACCAACGATGATATCAGTTTTAAATGTGATTTTACTATATTTTACTACATCAGAAGAAGCAGGTCCCCTAATAATTGTACTATGCACCACTGTATTAGGAACACCAAAGTGTTAGAAACAACGCACAAAATAAATGAACCTTCAGTTCTACACACACAATTTAAAGTTATGTGCTGTATGTCAAATAAGTTAATTATAAGTCAAAGAGTCTTTTGGAAATAATTAAAAATTACAATGAAAACACAGAATTCAGGTGAAATCAGAACAGTTACATGAATAAGAAAATATCCAATTAATGAAGTGAATGGTAATGAATATTCATGATGTGAGTATCAGAACAAATAACTAGGCATGTAACATGTACTAAAAATAATAAATCAAAAATACAATAAGATATGTTAAGACACTTGTTAAAAACTCGGGCATGTGACAAATACAGAATTAACAGCTACAAGTCAATGAAGGCAAGGAATGCATGCACAATACAGTCACTGTCTTATTCATTTAGAATAACATAGTGGTCACAAACTAATCTGGAAAACATGGACACAAAAACATGAATTCCATTAAAAAAATATTAATCATATAACCCCATATTATCCATTTCATGTCAGTACCTGTACCCAAAATAGAGAATAAAGAGGTTTACTTTTAATTTAAGAACTATGTAACATACAAATCCAAAATTTCAAAAACTATTTCAGAACAATATTAATAAGCCATTCCACTTTGCCGTTATGAAATTAAAGAAAGTATGAACCTGCTTAAGTAACACAATCATTACCAGTATACAACAGGATCTGAATTTTTATGAAAATGGAAACAAAAACATGCTGCATGTGCAATTTCCAGACTTCACCTTGGTCACTTAGATTTACAAGTGTAAGTGTACTGGCTTAAGAAACAGCAACTTGCACAATGGAACACAATGATTCATCTGTGCAATTTAAAGATACAGAAACAGCAATTACAAACTATAAGTATTATACACTCGAATAAGATACTGCACAGATAAATGCACATTTGGCAAACACCAGAAACAATTCAACAGTTGTCTACTGGCTGCCAATCTTCCCAGAACTGAATGTCTTTCTAGGCATGACATAGTGACAAAAGAAACAGATCAGGAATTGGTTAAAGATGCAAAATTAACATGTTTTATAGTACTACAAATATCATCCACAGACCTTAATGGAAAATATAAAACATAACTTCTCTTGGGATAAAACAACTAGGGGTCTGGAAATGGGCTGCTGCACCAAGACAGTGCACTAGTCATCTGTGTCCTACAGGCTCCAGTCAACACAGCAGGTGAGAAAGTCTAGGATGCTGTCATTTAAGGAGATTAAAGACAGTCTTGCATGACTGCTTCCAGAAGTAATGTGGCTACTATGAGAAATGTGTGACAGAAAATGAGAAAAAAATTTGAAGGCAGTGTGCAATAAAACCTGCTCTGGTAACAATAGGTAAGTTCAAATGGACAAAATGAAATTGACTTTTTTGTTCTGCCTGGTATAAACACACATTTTCTTTCACTAAACATAATATGGCATCATTCCAACAATAATACATAGTTCTTGTTTATAACAGACTGCCTCAAGCAAGGAATCATTAATGCACTCTGCTGCAAGCAGGTGACCTGCTCTAGAACATTACATGAGCTCACACTTGCATGCACACTTCTACAGCTGAGTTACTGATGCAGAAATTTCACTTTATTTCCCCTAGCAAAGGGCCTTCCCCAGTATCAGGCTCACAGCCAATTCCCACTGTGACTTTGAAAACATCATATAAGTCATTACCATGGCAGACAGCCCCTTTTAAATTAAACAAAGTGACTGCACTGAAATTTTACAAATTGTAGGTACACATTTTTACTTCTACAAATTATTTTCAATCTGCTTTCAATGAGCTCATAGATAAATATCTAGACTGAAATAGTGTTCTGCAGCAACTAAATTATGTACACATCTGTGGGGGAGGATAACAAGATTACTAAGCAGCATAATATCTTTACAGCTTATAAAAGGAAGTAAGCAAATTCATGCTCTTACCTTGGCAAAACGATGAAAAGACACACTTGTGCTATGAGGTGAACTTGAACTGTGAGTGAGGTGTGACTGTTAGCATCTGTAAAAGCTATGGATAGTGACTAACTGCATTATAGAAAGCATGCAGAGTGCAAAAACTGAAAACCCCATTACAATAACAAAATAAAATTTCTCTAAATATTAAGTTTTATTTAAAGTTATGTGAAAACATTCAGACATTTTAAGAGAGCACAAAACTGATTAAATACAGACCATATTTTTTCTCCACATACTCGTACACGCACTCAGTGGCATAGTATCACAGGAAACAGTACATACAGTGTTCCTGACTTCTGAACGCCATGTATGGTATAATTCTAACCTACAAACTCAGTAGTCCATTATTGAATTCCGAAAGTCCTAACAACGGTTCTTGGGCTAGGTCAGTTCAATCTGCTACCCACCTTCACACTCTATTTCTTTAAGATTAATTTTATATCTTCTCATCTATACTCAAGCCTCAAAAGCGGCCTTTTCCTTCAGGTTACATTGCCTAAACTGTACATGTAGATCTCACTTCCCCCATATGTGCTACGTGTACTATACGTACCACCCATCTCACCCTCCTTGATTTAATGGCACTAACAATATAAGGTGAAGAGTAAAAATTATGAAGCTTCCTGTTACACAGTTCTTTTCCACTCTCTTTTTATTTCCGCTGTCACAGGTCCAAATATTCTCATCAGCACTTTTCTTTCTTCAAACTTAAAAATTATCTGCATCATTTACTAGCTCTTGAGAGACCATGACAGCCCAAGATGTCAACTTCATTTCGTTTGCATTTTAAATCTGGCACTCACAGTCCAGCATTGGACAACATAATTTTCCAAATGTAAGACTGAGACAAAAAAACAGTATCATAATGTGTTATGACAGTTAGGCTAGTATCAAGTTGCATTTGGTACAACAGCAAATTTAGTCTGATTTCCTTGTTGACCTCCAAGTCTCATAAATGTACTAGCTGCTTCATTTCCACTACAGCCAGCATACTGACCAATCCCACTGCATCCCTTACTAATCAGCATGGACAAGATTTTTATGACCTAATAATCCCTTAAATATGTATGTAAAATATGCACATAAAAAGAACATACCAAATATTAAAACTGATTTTACATTATTTTAAGACCAACAAAACAACATTTAAATTGATTTTATGTAATCAATGAATGATCCACTTGCAATAAAAAGCAATACTTAAATACAAATCATGCAACAAATCCAATATTTTTCCTGACAAGTTAAAAAACTAGTGCTACACATATATCTCCAAGTTTTCAACTTCTCTTCTGTTGCGGTTCACAGTTACTAAATATTTTAGGTCTCCCATAGTTAGTTGCCTCCTATTGTCCTGTAAGATGTCCTTATAGTGGGAAAAAATTATTATCACCTCACAGAAACTTAAGGGCACATGTACAAAAGCTGCTACTTGCTCCACTGCTAGTGATTTTTTACTTGGCACTTCAGCATGTTTAACGGCTAAAATTTCTTCATATCTTGAAAGAATGCTGTGTACCTTTTCCTTTACTACTTCACCAACTTTTCCAGGAACCAAATTAAATTTGGAAACAGTGGTTTTGAATACACTTAACAAGTGATACGTAGTAGTACTGCCATTGCTTGCCTCTAGTGAGGAAATGGCAGGTGGAAGATGAGAGAAGTGAGCAGACATGTAGGGAAGATTAATTTCTAGTTCTATATTTTTTAGTACATCTTGGGCACTTTGAGCTGATGCTCCACTTTTTGGATCAAATGTATTCACAACATTCCTAACTGTTTCTAAATGTTCGGTGTAATTCATTGCACACAGCCATGCACCCCAGTGCATTGGTTCTGGTGGAAGTGGAACGTCCGGCGCTACTGCTTTAAAGGGTCCTTTTCTATATGGTGCTTTAATAAATACCTTTTCCACAGAAGATACCAACTTGTCAACAAGTGTAACATTTGCACATATTGTTTCTGCAACATGGTGCGATGCAAGTCAAATGTGTCATATCTGGAAATATAACTTTAAGAGCAGTATCGGCTTTGATCACAGAACTTGCAGCATCAGTCACAAAGAGCAATACATGCTCATACTGAATGCCATTGGCCACAGTAGAGCCATGGAATCGATACAAAATTCAGGAACTATGAAGCTATTTGTTGTTTCAAACTGCTCTACCACAAGAAGATTCTTATTAAGGGATCCAATTATAATATTTGCAATAAACCGTCCCTCACATTTTTGTGTTTTGTCGGTTGATACCCACACATAATTATCTTGACTCTTATCTCTAATGACTTCAATTGTAAGATCGCAACACTGCTTCATGTAATTTTTGCACATAGTAGATTCATCCAGCATTCTGCGCTGTGTATACTTCTCTATGAAGTTTCTCAGAGTAGGACTGATTAGTTTCCACAGTGGAATATCTGCCATGAAGAAGGCTTTGCACAAGTCAAAGGAGAACTGTGAAAAGCTATTATTAGAAAATTCGCTAATCAATTTTTGAACAGGAGCAGTTTTCATGGATATAATTTTAATATTCTCTTTGTGTATACTAGTGTTCAAATGTTGAAGCATTTGAAAGCGTTTTCACAACCGCTTTTCACATGCTCAGCAGTAAAGAGTTTTGTTATCTGTAGTTATCATCTCTCCTCCAAACTCCTGCTGATACAGCTGTAATATAGTTTTCTGACTTATTTTCACTTTTGGCACGACTGCAAAAAGCCAAACAAGCTTAACCAGAGACTAGTCACCACTAATATGGATGACGCCCAGCTCTAAATGAAGAAGAGTAGTGAACCTGATGGAGATGTTGGAAATAAATAAATCAAGTCCATTATTGGTTGAATAGTATTCTGTTGTTAGTAACTATATGTGAATACGCTTCTGACTAATCCCTTTGCAGCCACACTGATGGTATGCTGATGAGGCAAGCTATGAGTAGAGGGATCGGGGAAGTCCCATCCTGGGTACTGAATCAGAAACATGAATCCAGACAACTTGTTATTTGTATGACAAAATTTTGAGAGTCAAATATTCAGCATATTCTAATACAAAAAAGAAAAATTGTATACACACAACGATTGAAAATTTGAACATAAAATTAAAAATATATACAATGATAAACATTTTAAAAAGAAAATATGTAGCATAAATAGAAATCTTTGAAAATAATATGCTTATTCATAAAACAAGCAAAATATGCATTTATATGCACCATCAAACCACGTCTAAAATTTAAGAAATTAAGTAATTCATACACATATCCAAATGAGCATACTTTTTGGTTACAAAAAAAAAATGCATTTGCATTAAAATCCGGTCCCTACTAATCAGTGAGATATCTGAATGGGTGTGTAATCAGTCTGTGACTTCTCTCAGAGCCAAAAGAATATAACAAGTAACACCTGACAGTTAAATATGTTCCTCTCAAATCCAAGCACACTTGGATGTAAGGGATAGAATTGAACTCGCCCTATGATGTCAGCTTCAAATTGCACAAACTACTTTCCCAAACAAAGGTCTGGAAACTGAGTCATGGCAGCATACACATTACATCTGTAATGGAGGAAATGTCAATACCAAATTCCAGAAAACCATGTCACAGAAACATAATCATTATGCTTATATGTATATTCCATATCCAAAGAGCAGCAAGCAAAAGTTAATTTCCAAAATCATAAATATTTAGGTCATACTATAAAAGTTGTAACACTACCCCTATTTAAACCATGAAGCACTATAAACATGTAAATGAAAGATTATGTAATTAATTCTTTTTTTATTCACTTAGTGGGGAGTGGAGTCCCAACTGGGTCCACTTGGCACGGCAGCCACTGATTGGCCTATTTAACTGCCCCGGGTGATTATGATGGAGAATTTGGTGGAATGATGATTGGCAGGGGAAACTGAAGTACTTGGAGAAAACCCGCCCCAGCGCCACTTTGTCCACCACAAATCCTACTTGACCAGACCCAGGATCGAACCCAGGCTGCCATGGTGGAAAGCCAGCGACTAACCGCTTGAGCTGTGGCATGGCCAAAGATTATGTGACTCTGTGATGTAAAAATGGGCAAAATCTCTGTCAGTACAGATTCCATCATCAATAAGTCCACAGATGTTAACCCACAATATTCATCCTACTGCGATGGCCTTCTCAATAGAGAGAACATACAAAGTGAACTTACATGTCTTGCTTTCCTTTCTGTATAAGGAAACAAGCTAAAAGCTAACCCCAATGGAAATTCTGTCATTATTCACTGTGTAACTGCAAACTAACATAATAATCAAATACTCATATAGTTATCACTTGAAAACTTAATTTTTCCTTCAATAGTGAAATGTTTAACAAAAACTCCAATGTACTTTACACGACTTTTATTTGACACATGCATGCCAAGCAAGTTGGCCCAAGCAATAGAGTTCCTGTTTAGCAGAACTTGGGGCCAGGACACAAACTGTCCTGACTGAGGTCTGTCACAGTATTCCTCAAAAAATTCCAGGAGAGTACTTCCAATTAGGCCACAAGTTCTTCCTTCTTTATTCTTTCCTATTCGTTACCATCCTACTGTACAACACTATACAATCTACGTGAAAGTGTCATTAAATAAACCATAAATAATTAAGATTTGTGTGTGTGTACAATTTTTGGTCATACTATGCCACTGTGTAGAATCATGTCAAATATTTGCTATGTGGTATTCAATACAAACATTCCAGTTTCCTTTATTAAGGATATAAAATCTCAGCTTCATTTGAACAATATTTTGATGATGATGATGATGATAAATACGTTTCCATTTCTGAAATCCTTGTACTGATGTTATATACCTTTTGCAGCTGATAACTAGTCTCCGAGTGACCTACGGACTGACAAACCAGCCAATGAAACAATCAAATTCCTCTACCCTTTACCTCTACCTTGATAGTGTTTCATTAAAATTGCTATTTAGCATGCAGTTAAGGTAAATGAAATGTTGTCCCTGTACCTCAACCACACACTATGAGGGCATATAGCGGGCATAGGAATAAAAAGCACCATTTGTTCCATA